ATATCAAGGCCATTAAAAATGATTTTTATTAAAAAATCATTTTTGTTTGCATAATAGGGATTTATTTTGTTGTGTAACTCACATTGTTTGTGGTGTAACTTGCATTATGGCAAATGTGAATCACGTGTAAGCACGATGTAACTTATGGAGAAATAAAAAGATGTAACTTCATGTATTATATATCACATGTAACTCCCATATTAAATTTAACGGAATAATAATAATATCATCATTAATACACAAAACTGATCATTTTAATGTATAGCTTCGCTGTGTACATCCTGGATTTTAAGGGTCAGGAAACTTCAAGAAATTGAAAAGCTTGATCTTTCTAAAAATTATTACCTCCGTCCCAAATTGATTTGCAAATTTGAATTTTCTTAGTCAAACAGTTTCATTTTATTCGCTTAATTAGGATGTCTATGTTTAGTTATATTCTAATTTTGAGTTTACAACTTTGAATATATTTTAATGTAGTTTCTAAATATATAAATTTTAATTTTTAAAAATTGAATTAGTTATCGATGGGGAACATTGACTTTTATTATTGGTTAACAAAAAAAGTTGACTTTGCAAAACAATTTGGGACGGAGGGAGTAAAAAACAAAGCACATAACTTTTCTTGATCAGTGACTCGGTGGAAGCAAAGTTAGTTAACTGACATATATTTCAATTCACTGGAAATATTCATTCCCATCTTCGAAAGTTGGGACCGTGTGAAGTTTCGCCGTTTAAATCCATGCAGCAGAAGCGGAGGGATAAAGGAGAAGGAACCGTATATGCTATAGCGGACGCCGGACGACGATCCCAGGAAGATAGCTTGGCGGAGAAGAAAAGATGATTTGGATTGTTTTTACTTAATGAAACAGCACCGTATTAAGATCGGCACACCATGTTGATGGTAGACCGATCCATAAATTGCTATTTAAGTGTGTTTCTCAAAATACTCCTTAAATAAAAACGGAAGCTTCTCTCGGGGAGTGATTCCTCAACCACACAGAATGAATGAAGGCAACTTCTAAGTTCTAACGAGAGGCGAACCAATGGACACTACTACTTATTGATGTTAAATGTTACGAAATATCTTCTAATTATATTTGAATAAGGGGTTATGTCTAAAATAATACTAAAAAAAGAGCTATGAACAAAAAAGAGACCTTTATTTCAATTTTCGAAAAATGAGACTAACAATGGGTTAAGAGACTATTATACCCTTATTTTAATAGAATCTCACCCATTAGTCTACAATAACGCCACAGTGACCAAAACCATTATCGTGACCAAAATTCGTCACTGACCAAAAATCATTTGTGACCAAAAATCCAAAAATTCGTCAGTGACCAAAATCATTAGTGACAAAAAATTCTACCTAGTTACCAACGTCAACCCGTCCAGTGACCAATCCGACTAGTTACCATGACCAATCCACCCAGTGACCAAAAATCATTTGTGACCAAAATTCCAAAATTCCGTCAGTGACCAAAATCATTAGTGGCCAAAATTTTTACCTAGTTACCAACGTCAACCCGTCCAGTGACCAATCTGACTAGTGACCATGACCAATCCACCCAGTGACCAAAAATCATTTGTGACAAAAAATTCAAAAATCCGTCAGTGACCAAAATCATTAGTGACCAAAAATCATTTATGACCAAAAATCCAAAAATTCGTCAGTGACCAAAATCCGACTAGTGACCATGATCAATCCACCTAGTGACCATGACCAATTCACCCAGTGACCAACCCGATTAATAACAGTTACATGATCCTCCAGTTACAATTATCTGATTCGCGAGTTATAGTTAACTGACCAATCAATTATTGTTATCCGACTCGACAATTACGTTACCCAATTGACCAGTTGACCAGTTATAGTTACATAGTTAAGTTACCGGGTTCACGTTTAAAATTACCCAATACCACACCTCCGACCACCGCTGGCGACTACCACCTCCGGCCAGGCGACAACCGCCACCGGCGCACCACACCAAACCCCAGACCCCTCCTTTGCGTCACCCCATCCCCTACCTCAGCTAGCCCTTTGCCTTACGGCCCTTACCAGACCCCCTCCCTTAAGTCACCCCAGCCCCTGCCTTTCCAGCCCTTGCCCGACCCCCACACCTGCCTCACCTCAGCCTATACCTCCCCTGCCATTGCCAATCAGTCTAGCCTCTTCGTCGCAATAATTGCACCTCTTCGCCCACCACCGGCCAACCAGTCCACCGCCGCCGCAATAATCGCACCTCTTCACCCACCACAGAACAACCAGCCCACCGCCGCCCAACCCTAACCCTCCCTAGCCGTCCAGATTAGATCCAGGATCAACAATCGGAGATCGAGAAGAAGAAAAGAAGAAGATGATGAATAAGACAACGAAGAATAACCTAGACAGAAACAGCGGTGCAACTGGATAACGATGGCGGCGCAGATGGACATAGGCGGTGCAACGAGATAACGATGGCCGCGCAGGTGGACAGAGGCGGTGCAATGAGATAAGGCTGGCGGCAAAGGTGGACAAAGGCGGCGCAGGTGGAATGGAAATCTGGGGCGAGGGACGAGTGCAGAGGATTGGAGAGTGGAGAGGGGATGCTTCGAATGCATCTGAGCGAGTAGGTGACGGAAGGATTGGTTGGCTAAAAGAGTTTAGGGGCATTTAAGTCAGCTTGATGCAATTTTAGTCTCTTTTTAGTCCAAACAAAATTCGGTTCTATTTATGTCCTTTCAAAAGTCAGTAGTTGTATTTTTGTCATTATTTCTTTGAATAACATGTCCTAGTTTCTTTGAATATATACTTGGTGCCCCAAATAATTGACATATAATTAAAAACATATTTTGACATATTCAATTAATATAAAAAGTAATTAAAATTTATCATAAAAAAACTTAATCTGCGATTATTTATAAAGACTGTAGAGTATATAGACCTGAACCACACGCCCTGCATACTCATGGATACACAAACAAGATAACACAGATGAACCCCATAAGATGAACATTAAAGTCATGGATCAAGAATGTTCACCTTAGTCAGGCCCCTCAGCTTGGTCACCTTGGCCTAGTCACCTCTGTCTGGTCACCTCGGTCAAGACCTTCAATGAATAACTCTACTATGTACTTGGTACGATAAACATGTGTAATAAATAGCACATTAACGGGCCATATTGTAATCGGGCCTCCTAAACCCAAGACATGAGAGCCCGATCCACTTTTCTCCTATGAGAGCCCTTTGGGGAGTCATGTAAAGGGTTCACAATTCATTGTATAGATCCACTTCTCTCTATAGTTCTCCCTTCTCTCTAAGACTATAGTCTATCAAAGACACATTTTTATTAATTAAAAAATAATTAAATAAAACTTAATTTTTAAAGACACATATTATGCATTATTTATTTATCATTTTCAAACGTAATATTAATAATTTTGGTAATAGAAAATTTATTTTTTCAAGAATTTTACTTATTTTTATTTTATTTTAGTCTTGAGTTATTTTAAATTATTTTTGGTTACGTATCGCAAATTAAGTTTTTTATAATAAATTTTAATTATTCCCTCCGTCCCAGTTTCATGGTTTGATTGCGGTTTACAAAGTTTAACCGACGATGAATCAAAGGATCCATGTCCCCACTCAAAGAAACAAGAAGGATATATTATAAGATAACATGTAACAATAGATGGTCGTAGTAGTCCAATGGTGTGCTCAGGGGCGGAGCCAAGGGGGGTCAGGGGGGTCAGCCGACCCCGCTGAAAGTTTGAGAGTATAGAACTCTGAAATATCTTTGATTTGATATATTATAGCCCCCGTAACTCATTACGAGTAAAAAGTTATGACTTCTGAAAAATCAACATTATCTAAACGTAAAATCATCAAAATTTGATGCATAATATTGATGATTTTTCCAAATTTTAAAAATAACGTATAATTAACTCATTAATTACGTGAAATGATTCAGAAACATAGAAAAGACTATCTATCTTATTGGTACGAGCGCCTATTTATCTAAACTAAAAATGAAACATCCAACTCGGATATTGTCTAAAAACGATTTGCCATTTTCATTTTGTACATAGTTGATTTTCGATCCCCTGAGCCGTTTTTCTGGCTCCGCCCCCGGGTGTGCTTGGGGTGACGAGTTGCCTCTTTACTGCTTGGTCGATAGTTCTCAATCCGTGGTCACTGGTAAGAGTTCCCATTTTTTTTATTATGTAAGAAGTATTTTGAGAAACACACTGAAATGGGATGGCATGGGCATGTGACGTGGCACATTAGTGATAAAGATAATAAAATATTCAGTTGTAAGACTTACTTATTTTATGTGGATTAATAAAATATTGTACTCCGTAATAAATTGGTAAAAAAAGAAGTTAATTCAGTTGTAATTCAATTAGTTAAAGATAAAAATAAATAAAAAATAAAAAATAATTAGATGTAACTCGTGCATAACTAGATGTAACTCATGCATAAAAAATGCAACTCACGCACAAGAAGATGTAATTTCATATACTATAAAATGTAATTCCAGAAATTGTTTTGAAACATAATTCACACTGCACATGTGGAAATGTAAACCACACAAACGAAAATGTAACTTTTTTGAAATTTCTTCCGTAAACTCTCACTCATCTTTTTTGTACTACCTTTATTCCACTATGTTTGGGACAATTCGATTTACGATGATTGACTGACGATAAAGCAAACAGATTTATGTCCGCGCTCAAATTATTTTTAGAAAACAAATACATATTCAGAAACTGCATTAAAAAAATTTAAAAAGTCCCAAAAACCAGAATCAAATTTAATAAAATTTTGATATATAAAGTAAGAGATTAAGAATAATTTGTATTGATGAAGTGAATAGTGCGTGAACAATTTTAAACTTTCTTAACGTTACATATGTATACGTGTATCGTGTATAAATGGGTGGATGCTGACTGTGATAAGCGTCCGTACAAATAGTTGCAAAATGTACTCCAAGTTTAGAAACGAGCGCGAGAATGGACAGAGTGTTTTCTGTGGAAGAAGATATAGCCGACGAGTTCTGGCCGCAGCCCCCGCCGCCATCGGATACGCAGCCCCCGCCGCCATCGGATACGCAGCCCCCGCCGCCATCGGATACGCAGCCCTCGCCGCCATCGGATACGCAACCCCACGCGTCGGAGCTCGGAACCGGGTCCCCTCATTCCTCCTCCTACGGGACGATGAACAGCTGGTCCTCTGAGTGGAATGTCCAGGGCTTTCTCCAGGATGGCTCCATCATTGATCAGAACATTCCTCAGGCGCTTCCGAATGACAATCTGAAGACTTCTGGTGCAGCAGCTGCGGCGAAGGTAATAGAGACGAGTAATAATTATACAGATGCGGTGGCGTCTCTCATGCCGATACCTGCCTTGATTTAGCTTGTGCTGCCGTAGGTTTGACCAGTGTTTGTGTCAATGCTTTTCGAGTTTCCGCTCCTTTGGTGATTCCTTGTTTTCGATTTTTACAGCTGAATTAGTGTTTAATTTTTGAAAATGCCAATGCTAAAGAAGATTTTTCGAATTTTATCCATTGGTGCTTGTATTCTTGCCTCTCAGTAATTCCACTTTTCTGCTCTGTAATAAAGGGTCATCATAATGTACGTCCTACAGTCCTTTCACTTCTTTCCTTGTGACTTAGTATTACGTGCTCCGCTTTCCACTTAGGTCGTTGTCAACTATGGTTATTTTTCCATCCTCTCTCACTTGGAGCAAGTGAAAGTGAACTGATGGAATAGTTGACTTTGGTAATGTTGTATGCTCATTTGCTATCTTATGTGCTAGGCAAATAACATCAGGCCTCAAAATTCAGCTGCCATGCCGCCTTGCAAGGGTTCATTGGTCTCTAATTCATTTGAACAAGGATCACAGGTACCATCTAAAGGTTAGTATTTCTTTTCAAGATGATGTATGTGTTGAGTAGAGGTCCAGTAACATCCTTCCAGGCTACCACTGTTGTACAGGTCATTTGGCACATGCTGTATCTTGCATGGATTGATATTTTAATTGTTTCTCTTCTAATAAATGTTACACTTTCATCAATCCTTTGTATTCAACTATTCACATAAAGGTGTTCTGCATACAAAATTTGTGTATCTGCTCTGCGCTTTTCTAAGAAGCATTTCTAATATGTTGTGATTGTATGTGTGATTTTGTGAATGCAACTCTGCATATTTTTTCATTGTATCAAGCTGATTTTATTCAGCACTGCCGGCTTCATTACTGTATAGAATTTTCAGCATAAAAATAAATGAGGAATTTCTTTACTAAAATAGTTCCATATCTAGAAGTCTTAAGTTACCAGCTGAGTAATTTTGTAACTCTGCTTAGATCTCCAACCATCTAATCTTCATTTAGAAAGGATATTAACTTCTCTAACATCTAAACTCGGTATGTATAGTAACTTAGGTTTACAGAGTTCGCAAGATCTCAGCTAGAAAATTAATGTTTTCCTTACTAAAAGAGTAAAAGGATGAGACAAATGCCACATTAAGTTAATCAAGATGTCATTATGCTAAAGAGACTGAAAGCACCACACATTATTTATAGGGATATTTTGTATTTGCACCCTGTTTTATGTGAGAAATTAGAGTATGCACCCTAAATTTAAAACCTTTAGTATTTGCACCCTAAGTGAAACGGATCTGTTAGTTAGATTTCTAACATTTCAAAAATGTCAACAATACCCTTTTTTTAAGTCAACATCTGATTCTTCCCTAGGATACATCTGCACATAAAAGCTTTTGTCAACACCGTCAATTATTTCCCATGGCTCTAAGAAGAGCTGATTTTCTTCAGCGATAGATACTGGTAGATGAAAAGGGAAAACTAAGATATGTTTTTTTCATATAACAAATATTTTCATATAAATATATAGAAATGTTTTTTTAAACAGTGAACATACTTACAAGTAGGGATTCTATAAACATCTATACTGACTGCCATTGCTTCCATCTAGCCCAAATAGCAATCTGACCAAACAGATCAGGAAGAGAACTTAATTTTTCAGGATACTTTGCAACTATCCTGAAATTTTTAGAGTTCCTTCTCAATAATACCCAATTACAAAAAGTCCCAATGGTTCAAAATTCACTCCTTAAAGCAGGACTACATAACTTCAAACCCAAACTACAACAAATCCTAGTTACTTCTAAATCAATAATAATACCCTGTTGAAAGCAGCCCCATTAAAGAAAATGGCAGGTATTATGAACATTTGCTGCATTGGCAGACTCATTCAATGGAGGCAATTCAATGAATATATCAACATATTCATCACTATTGATTCCTTCATCCCTGCTACTTTCATGGAATGGTACCCTAACTGAAAATTACACATTGAAATAATTATATTAATAACACTCTCACAACTAATATTTACACATGAGCTGTGTAAAGTTGCTCTTATTAATCATCTGGATTTCTCAAACTTAGGCAATGTAAGCAACAATTTCAGATCCATGCTACAATTAGCATTCCACTAAAAGGGTAATGTAAATAACTGAAAAGCTATAAAAACCTATCCTTGAACACCATAACATTTAAAATTTATAAAATCCATTCATTAGCATCAACGATTGCTTACTTGAATCAACCAACTGCAAATCATCAACACAAACAAATCTTTCATTTCTTTCATTATTTTCAATTGTTGGAGGCAAAAGAATAAGTAAAATATAGTTTCCAAACTAATTCCAATCATGATTCCACTATGGCCTTAGTTTTTTTTTTTGGTAATGATGTTTATGTTTGGTTCCAGTAGGTCCCAAACATCCAAACTATCCCATATTATGTTTATGCATTTAAAAAGTGGAGTCCCAGAAGTTTTACCATCTTTATTTCGAAAAAAGAGGCTAGCCCCAAAACTTTGTGAACACTGAGCAACGTAGAACACATTTTGACAAACAGATTATATTCATATCTTTAAGTGCAGAGCATCAATTGAAACAACAACAAAATCGACAATCTATTTCACTCCGTATTTATCGGGTTATTTCCGTGCAGAGCATAAACAATGTGAAATTAAAAACGGTTTAGAACAGAAATTTAGCAGACTACAGTCATATGTGTAAGAAAGTAATTAGTACAAAACATCAAACAAAAATTTGAATAATCATGTTTCTGTTAATACGTCCATCCAGAATTATTCAGAGCTTTGAAAGGAAGCTAATTGTATCGAAGAAGAGCATAAACCTAGCATATTGGAATTTGGAGCAGTAAGGCAGTGGAAGGCTAACTTGTTTCACTTTCCAGAGACCGGCGAGGCATTAGCTTCAAGGGCCACTCAAAATTCCAAAAGCCTGGTATTTCACAAGTATAAAAAAACTTACTTGGAGCCTGTAAAGAGTTCATCTTTCTCTTCACAGGAAGCTTCGACGTCGTCCTCTGTAGCCCTTCATCATCCGTTCGTCTAGGTGCTCTTGAATCCACCAATAAGTTATTGCAACCTTCATTCATCCCCAACCCTAACTCAGTCTACGCAGTTGAGACGATTTAGAATGTCGAAGTCTGAGAAAGAAGAATGCGAATGACTGTCTTTACTTAGGTAAGGGTATTACAGTCATTTCCTACCAAAGTTAACCTCTTAACAGATTATTAACGGAGAGAGGGTGCAAATACTAAAGGTTTTAAATTTAGGGTGCATACTCTAATTCCTCACATAAAAGAGGGTGCAAATACAAAATATCCCTTATTTATAACATTTATACGACCTGGATAGTCACAATGTGTTCCTAGAGACCCCTTATGATTCATTGATTTAAAAGAGTCTTTTCCATTGTCATCATTTTCTATAAACGTACATGGTAAAAAATTTAAGACGTAGATCTTCAGTGACCGAAAAGATAATAAAATGCCCCAAAACCAAATAAGGGTTATCGTGCTTCTTCGGGGTCCAAAAAGTCATATTCAAACTATGATGAGTAACTAATTAAATATTTAATTATTTTTAATTTCATGGCTTATGGTTGATCTTTTTAGAGAGAGAAACACGTTGAGATAATCTTTTTATTAACTAACAAAAAGAAAAAGTGTGGTTGACTTTTCAGAGAGAGAAACATAATTTGAACAACATAATGCTTTCCTTAGAAAGGAAATAGAGATCATTTTAGTATAGTACAAAAAGAAAAGTGTGGATAATTTAGGAATAGAGGCAGTATAACAATTTTTAACTGCAGACGTGCATTATTGATTTATAGTATTGCAAGCGTTAGAAATGCATCAACTCATATGTAAATTTTCTTCATTATTTATTTTCACTATATAGGATCTGTACATAATTTGCCAATGGTGCAAGAGGAGGCTAGATTACCACCTGGTATACCATCCTTGCCTGCAATGCAGAAGAAATCTGCTACACAGGCTTGCTCAACAATTAGTGGGTCAGAGCAGTCAGATGATGATGAAGCAGAGGGAGAAGGCGAAGCTGAAACAACTCAGCTCGGGGACCTAGCAGATGTGAAACGTGTGAGGTCAGTACTTTCACAGTATTTATAGTTTTCATATTACCTGATTAATATACTAGAAACACAGGGACTGATAGAGCTGTAGAATCATATGTGGCTGTTTGCATTTTCCATTCATGTTACTGAAGATATGTAGTACTGGCTAAAAGGATCATGTTACTAAAATTCTGAACCTGCATCGTTGTTGTTGCTCTTTCATTTTCACCAATGGAATTTCGGTTTTATGTAAAAGAATCCTTTTGCATTATTGATTTGCACAGTATAAGATGTCTTGGATTTTCATTAATTAACGAACTTTTAACATGCAACCATAAATATTTGGACAATTTTATTCACTAAATGATGAATCATGAATGTGGAAATCAGGCACTGTAAATTTTGTTTCCCATATAACTCTGAATTGTTTGTGCTCTTTCTAGAATGAGATCTAACAGAGAATCAGCTAGACGTGCCAGGAGTAGAAAGCAGGCCCATCTGACAGAACTGGATACGCGGGTATCTTTCTTAACCCACCTGTATATATTGCAAGGTTCAAGTGAGAAGCTTTCTCGTGATAAGCACCACTTCTTACATGAGCACCTCTAATATTCCATAACGTTAATCTATTTTTGTGATTGAGGAGGAGTCGTTTTTGTAAAACATATCATAGATGCTTAGGAAATTGTTACGCTAATTACAAAAAAAACCACCTTATCAATTAAAACCATCATTTGAAGCATAGTAGTCAATGACGAGATACGCCATCGCCATAAAAAAGTGGTCGTCGCCATAGCGCCATATGCGCCATTCGTTTATGTGCCATCGCCATGTGCCATGAAAAAATGCCCTTCTGTCATGGCGATCGCCATGTGCCATGTGAAGCTTGATTTGAAATCATGCATGTTTGAGATTGGAATTTGGAAGTGCTCATTTAATAAGTGGTGCTCACAAGAAGGATGCACGCATACCTTATTGTCCCTGTCAAGTCTTTAGTGATTTCCTTATCAAGTCCATCTCATGGTTTACTCTAGGTTTCTCAGTTGAAAATTAAAAAAACATCTTTGGAGGATCGTTTGACAGATGTGAGATGTAAATACAATGAGGGTTTGATTGACAACAGAGTCTTGAAAGCAGATGTTGAGACACTAAGAGCAAAGGTAGCAGATGTTAGAATTTAAATTGAAGTGATTTTTTAGATGTGGCATTACTTCCCCCCCCCCCCCCCCCCTCTCCGGCAACACTACTGTTTGCAGGTTAAGATGGCAGAGCAAAGAGTTAGAAGACTAACAGGTTTGGATCCTCTATATCAAGCAACATCTGACATGTCCAGAGTCAGCATGCAATCCTTTGTTGGCAGTCGTGCTGCACCATCAATTGATGCTTGTGCCGCTCTACTGATGTGTAATGATTCCAGCCATATCTTTTATCAGAGCCCATCAAATGCTCTCACCCAGCCCCTTGATCATCCAAGTCCAGAACAGCTTGGTAGGAATTCTGAAAATAGATAACTCCGAGTCATGACAACACCCCAGCAACTGCAGCATCAATGCAGCAGGTGGCTAGCTTGGATCATGTGCAGAATCAATATCCTGGATAAGTAGGGGTGTTTGTGGAAATCCGCATGCACAGTGAATGATGTTGAATTCATTTTTAAAAAGTTCAATTAATTAGTTGTTAGGAAAGATACATATTTTAGGTGTTGTACCGTCTGTATGCTTTAGAGAAGAGAGAATTCCCTAAATAGGAGTAAAAACGTTTTGAAATTCCAAAACCGGAGTATCATGTTTTTTATTCTCTAAATAGAAGTTAAATTTCTACCAAGTTTGACATTACAAGGCTTTAAACATGACATTTTTTTTCAAACTTGGCAGATTACTCCTATTCAAGAAATAAAAAACATGATAAAAAACTTGGATTTTCAAAACGTTTTTACTCCTATCTAGGATAATTTCTGTTGAGAGGATTCCCAACCTTGGAGCAAAACATAGAAATATGCCAAAATAGGAGTTCTATGCCTTAGCTAAGTTTTACATGGAAATTAATAGTAACTAACTATAATGCCCTTAATGAAACAAAGCTGGAGATTTCCATTTTCAAAAACACACTGTTCTACAAACGTGAAGGTAACCGTCTAAGGCTTTGTTTTCAACCACTTCTGCTTAAATAAAAGCAATTTTGGGGAAAAAGTGATTAGTAGTAAAAGTTGGTAGTGTTTGGTAAAATAAGTGCTTTTTGTGTAATAGAAAAAGTAAAAAGTAGATTCTACACGGAAGCCGAGAAAGTAAAAGTTGGTAGTGTTTGATAAAATAAGTGTTTTTTTCTTAAAAAAAAGTTAAAAGCATTTTTTTAATGGGTTGCAAACAGACCCTAAGGGTTGGTTTGCAAATGCTTTAAAAAAAGCACTTCTCAGCTTTTAGCTTAAAAAACACTTATTTTTACCAAGCACTATCAACTTTTATTTTTCTCAGCTTTCGTGTCAAAAGTGCTTTTACCTTTTCTATTACACAAAAAACTTATTTTACCAAATACTACCAACTTTTATTTTTCAAAATCAATTTTCTCAAACACTATCAACTTTTCTTTAATCACTTCTCCCCATTTCATTAATAAAAAGCATTTTTTAAAGCAGAAGTTGTTGCAAACAGACCCTAAGCAGCCAGCAGAAAGTTTTAAAACATAAAAACGACAAATATTCTTTCATTTGCAGACAATTTCAACTCTTTCAAAGCGCGAACATGGAGAACATAACCAAAATTGCATAACACTTGGGGAAGATTGAATTTGTTTTTTTTATATCTAAAACCATATACCTTGAAAAACAACAGAAGAAAGAAGGATGAATTTCGTGAGAACTAGAAATCATGTCAAGCAAATGTAAACTGATTTTGTGATGCCAATCATGTATAATTTTATCTATTTTTAACTTGCTGAAACTGGAACTCGCTGATAGGGCTGGCAATATCACCCGCACCCGCGGATACCCGGTCAACCCGAACCGAAAATATGGATGCAAACCCGAAGAAGTATGGATGAAAAATGGATGACGGGTGGATCGAAGGACGAGGTGCATCGGGTGTGGATGAAGGCTCATCCAACCCATCACCCGACCCGTCACCCGTTCCATCCACTCACCCGCTGACCCGCATATAAATATATACTCCGTAATATACAATATATAATATATATTATATCTATTTAATAATATATAATAATAATAATAATAATAATAATAATAATAATAATAATAATAATAATAATAATAATAATAATAATAATAATAATAATAATAATAATAATAATAATAATAATAATAATAATAATAATAATAATAATAGTTAATTGGTGAAACAAAGATGATTAGTGAGCTTCAAGAAGTGGCAGTTGAATAGCAAAAATAGTTTTGTGCCGGTGCATAAATGCAGAATTTAACACTTGAAGAAGTTTATGTCTATTTTATTTAACATTCAGTTCTTTCTTTGTCATCGGCACTGAATTAATGATTGTAATATGGTTAATTGCTCATTTTTTGTTATTTTATAATGAATTCTTAATTTTTGGTTTTTAATTGTCATGGTTTCTCTTTGTAATTTATTTTTTTGTGTGTCAAGTTTGACCATTTATATTTCACCCGCTACTCACCCGATCCACCCGCTAACCCGTTCAAGATGGATGGGTTGGATGTGGATGTAATTTTTAATGGATGATGGACGGGTGGGTGGAGTATAAAAAATTAACGGGTGGACGTGGATGAGCCTTCACCCGGTGAAAATCCGACCCGCTGCCACCCCTACTCGCTGAAAATGCCTATTATAGTTATTTTGTACTAATATATACTCCGTATTTTAAATTTTATTATAATCGTGAAAATTCCTATTTTAGCTATTTTGTACTAATATATATTTTTAATTTTATTATAATCATATTTTGTTTTTTCAATTCAATAAATTCAATTAACTCAGTTATTTTAAATAAGATTTCATCAATTTTAACATATTTAGAGCCTGTTTCGTGACATATTTTTTGGCTTATAAGGATTACAACCAATTTTTTATATATAAAAAATGTAACTTCACGCGATGAGTTATTTAATAATAAGATAAGTAAGGTTTGAGATACTTTTGTCATTGTATTGACTGAAGTTATTCTAGAGATTCATTTTATCTATTTTTAATGTAATTTTCTCTTTACTTTATTAATATAATACTCCCTCCGTCCCTTTTTATTTAGCCAAACACCTTTTTTCAAGTCAAAGTTGTTCAACTTTGACGGATTATATATTTATACACGATAATATTGATAATATGAAAATTGTATGAAAATGTTCTTTGTTGAAAATATTATCATAAAATTATAAATTTATTATGTTTTACATAAATATATTAATTAAAATAATGGATCAAAGTTAATCACCTTAGACTGGAAAAGTCAAAGATGGTTAAATTAAAAGGGATGGAGGTAGTATGTTTTATAAATCACTCAATCCATTTCGCCAAAAAAAAGCACTCAATCCAGTTACTTAAGTCAGAACTTCATAAATTCCAATATAATCAAAGGGAGTGTTACCAAACAGGCTCAATCAATTTAAGAGAAATGCTAGAGGCTCAATCAATTTAAGGACAGACAATTTGTCTGTGAAGGACAGACAAGTGTACACCAAACGTGTACACAAAACATGTACCTCTAGCATTTTTCTCAATTTAATGCATTTGAAGGCTAGTGATGTAGGTTTAAAAATATTTCCAAAAAAGTCAAAGTTAGCTTAGCTCATTTTATACTCCCTAGAATTCATTCATAGCATACATTTTTAACTTTAAAGTTAACAGATTAAAAGGTCAAAATACTTTATGTGAAACTCCAGAAGTTATGTCTGTTTTGGGTTTTGAAGAGGCTTTCCCTTCTGCGCTGCCTTAATTTTCCGTTTTTCTCTCTATCCATGTCTCGAAACCAAAATTCATTTGCTAATTATGGCTCTCTTCCCACCACCTCCACCGGAAAGCCCCCTCTTCCACCGCGAGCTTCAAATCCACCGACTCTCATTCCGCACCCTAGATCCGAGTTCGCCACGCGCCGCCCATGGCGCGTGTTCTTCGACTTCTCCTCCTTCTACCGCCCGTACAATTACGCCGAGGCAATGTCTCGCGTACGGCGCAACCTCGACTACTTCCGCGTGAACTACGCCATTGTTATTCTCTTCATCCTCTTCCTCAGCCTTGTGTTCCATCCGATCTCCATGATCGTCTTTCTAGTCATCTTCGTGGCTTGGATCTTCCTCTACTTTTATCGCGAAGGACCTATTTTGGTCTACGGAAGAGAGTTCGGTGACCGTCCCGTTTCGATCTTATTGGGATTGGTGACCATTATCGCCTTGGTATTTACTCATGTTTCAGTGAATGTGCTTGTGGCTTTGATCGTTGGGGTTCTTGTGGTTGGCCTTCACGCCGCGCTTAGAGGGATGGAGGACTTATTTTTGGATGAAAATGAGGCTGTTGAAGGCGGGCTGCTCTCAGTTGTGAGTGAAGAGCAAATCAGGCCTAGTCACAACTTTCCCGCAATCAGATAAAGGGGATTTTTGAAACTTCTGTGTTTGTCCATGATTTGTGTTCAAGGGTTGGTATGCTAGAAACTGATGGGGAGATCCCAATTTTGAAGATTTGAACACAATTTCAAAAAGTTCTTTGTTTCCTTTTGATGCAGCTTCTCAACTTGTGGTGCTGGTTGGGAATTCACATTCTATTTGTGATGTTTTTTCCCCTGAAATGTTGGGGTGGTAGGCTCCATCTGGTATGAAGCAATTTGAAGAGTAGGTTGTGCAGAACAAGTTGGGGAGAAAGGTGATTTTTTTCCTCTTGTTTCTTTTGTTCAGTTATGGTTTACCTCTAATTCCTTTTCGTTTATACTAAGAAGTAAGAACTAGTTGTACTCCTGTATAGTTTGCTTTAACTTGATTACTACTAAGTCTGCCTATTTTATTGCATTGCATGCTTCCTAGCTCTGGTATTGTCTTTATATGTATTGTTCTCTTCTTAGTTCAACTTCAAATGGTGATTGGGATTACGTTTGGAAACCTTGTTTTATTTATTCTTTTGACCCAACAAGTGCAAATAATGAAAGAAACGAGAAATTTGTGTCTTGATGAACTGCAGTTGGTTGAATCAAGTCAGCAAATGTTGATGCTAATAGATGGATTATATAAATTTAAATGTTATGGTGTTCAAGGATGGTTTTTCTTTAGCTTTTTACCAGTAATTTTTTACATTATCCTTTTAGTGGAATCGATCTGGCATTAAGTAATCACAACAACTTGTAAAAGGATAATATGTTGATGGCATGCTAATTATCTCTCAATCAGTTCATTTCATTGAAGGTAGGAATTTATATCTCACAATCAGTTCATTTCATTGATTTTTAAACCCTCTGATATAATTGCTCGTAAGAATTGTTTGCAAATGTCAAGTGCAATGTCAACCATGAACTATCCGTGCTGCATGAGCTCACTTGATGGTATGTTGAGCATACGTTGAAGATCTGAAAATAATGGAGTTGATCCGATTTGAATTCATGGGAAGTGTCTGTTTTGACTACCACGAGTTTCCGACTCAGATTTGAAATCTCTTTGGGTAACTAAGAGCCCATTTGGTTTCTCTATTTTTTCGACTTATCAGGCTTATCTACTAACTTTTTAATCATATTTTAGCTATTTTTCATATTATTTTTTTTTATTTTATTAATAAAATATATTTTAAATACAATTTTTTCATGAATCAGTAGAATCAGCCGATACAGTCACTTCAGCCAAAACTTCATAAATTTCGGCAGAATCGACCGATTTCAGTGTTACAAAATATTCTGCTTTCTGGTTTATGATGTCTATGGATCATCTAAACCGATTCAGGGGTGGATTCGGGCCGGGGCCAGGTTGGGCCTAGGCCCGGGCGGGCCGGCGGTTCAGAATTGGTGGACCCGGGATCGGCCCGGGTAGCCACCGGGTCCGTACCGGGCCTCTGGTTTGGTTAT